CTTCATATCCCCAGCACAGAGCAGAGTACATGCTCCACAGATTTCAATAAATATTTGTTGAATAAATGAAAAAAAGAATGCTCTGCACATTGCAAATGGACATATTCTGTGTTAATAATCCTAAGGTCATCCTAAAACCACTTAGGTCAGTTTAGATCAAAGAAAATCAGAAATTATAAACAGTGACTAGCTGGCTAAAGTTCAGCATTTAACATTTCTAAGATGGACTCATCTCAGAAAAAGTAAGAAGTGGTCAGTACCTAAAGTCCCTCCATGCCTTGTAAGTAATGTGCTTCAGATACATGCCACTTTCAATCTCAAACTCCTCCTTTTCCGATGTTTTTCAGCTTTTCAGATTGTGAGGCAAAAGCCTGCTTTAGGTACCTCTCATTAACATCGCTAGTCTACCTTGTAACACTCGGGACACTGAGGGAGTGCCGGGGCCCAGCATCCACAGGCTCGGAGAGGCAAGGAGTCAGCCGGAGCAGCCTCAGGGGACAGCAAAGATCGGGAGCTGAAAATCCCATCACCCTGCTGCCCCTGGCCTGCAGGGCGTTTGAACTCCTGGGCAGATTTGGGCAAGACCTGAATTAGCAATCAGCTTGCCACACTGGGAGCCACTAGAAGTTGTCTCAGGTGGTGTTTAGGAAAAGAAGCGAAAGCTTTTGGTCTTGTAAAGTACTGAACCCAGGGGAACTCTAAATCTCTGCAGATAGGGCAATTCAGCGCTCTTAATTAGAGCTGAGTTGAGTTTTGTGTCCTCGGTAATTATAAATGATTCGACCAAAACTTATTCTCCACCCTAGGGATTCATGAAAGGAAAACATTTTAAGGCTCTGCAGTAGTTTTTGTTGTTGATGTTTTAATGTTGATTCTCTTCAAATTAGTCAAGAAGCAAGTAATATTACTTATCAAGCATCTTTGTGGAACAACACAATGTAAGAATTATGCTAGATGATTCATGGTTCTTGCTTAACTTATTAATCTCATAGATATTTTTAAAAGAGTGAAATGTGCCACATCTTGATATCTCTGCTTGGATCCTGTGTTTAACAAGGGAAAAAGGAAAGATCTTTATTAGTATCTTAGAGAGCAAAACCTAAGCAGTGCCTTAACCTTTCCCAAACCAGGGCCAAAAGGGCTAAGTCATCTGCTCCTTGTCCCCTGAGAGGTACCATATAGAAGAGCCAAGAAGAGCTGGAACCCAGAGGGAGAAAATATTATCCTTGGGCCTATATCTAAATATTCTAATCCAGTCGCATAACCTCTATTTGACCATCACATAGAGGGTTAGAAGAAAGAGGGGGATGTGATAGGAAAAAACTCAAGGTAAAATGTTAATTCCAAAGGAGTTTATGTGGAGGTCACAGTGTTCTTGCCAGAAATAACCTGTTGTGCACTGTGTGTGCAACAAAAAGAGATTCCTTCCAGCCTGGATCTAGCGTGTCGAGTTCCTCACGGATATGCTAAATAGAAAAGCACTCAGTTCTATTTCGGGGGTAGATTAAGTGAGAACAGTGATACTTAGATCATTTCTGGAATTGGCACATGGATTCCTCATCAAATTCTGCCTGGGAATAAGACAAATGAGCTTTGCATATGATCTGGACAGCCACAGGTAGTATAATCTTGAGAGAAGTCTCTTCTTAAAACTGAGACATTTCACTATTTCTGTGTCTCTAGATTATTCCTGTTAGGCTTAAGTTAGGATTAAAGATAAGGAATAAGCTGTTTTACAGCATCCAGCCTGTCTTACCTATTGCAGTTATTTTGTAAATATATTGTTGAGCTAATGCAAGAAAGAAATTGCTCACCTCCTCTCTACTGCTGTAGTTCTATTAACTGTGATGCGTAGAGAAAGTAATAGATAAATGCTTTCCTAACACTTTGATCTCTTTGAAAAAAGTTCTGAAAGAAAAGTTGTCTATTTTAATTCTAAGTGGTTGGTTGCATTGGTCCTTGATCTACCACCTCCTCCTTCTAGTGATTGTTTAGCCCTTTGGTTTATTTCCCTGCTACTGGGAAATGATGCTTTTCTGATAACATTCAGGAATGAGGTGGAGTCACATCACACATGCATTTCATGTACGTGTGGCTTTAGAATCTAATTGCTATGAAGATGAGACCAATGCCCAAGGATTGGAGAGTAGCAGCTGTTCAGTGAGTTCACAAGATGGGAAATCCACATAGAGTGAGTGACAGGCAGCAGGTGGCCATGCTCTTCTCAGTGATTTTTCAAAGATGTGTCCGTTCAATCAAGATTTAGAGTAAGAGCCAGCAGGTATTTCCTGAGTACTTACTGTGTTTCTACCATCACGGCCTAGTTACTTTCGTATTTTTTCCTTCTTTAATTCTCAAGACAGTGACAAACATGATATGTATTAAGGTTATAGTGGCTTAACATTAAGATAGAATGGAGTTAAACTTGTAGGCAAGAAAAGGCACTTTTGAAGTCTCTGTCCTGTCCCCAGTCACAGTAAGAACTTGAGGATTACTTTAAGGAAGGAAAGAAGTGAATGTCCTGACATCTAAGTATACATTTCCCCGTATTTCTTCCTTTAGTCCAGTTCAGTGGCTCTCAGTCCTAATTGTGAGTATGCCGTACTGTGAGCACTGGTTCACATACACTAAACTTTAAGCAAGATTTAAGGGAGTTCATAATAATTTTGACTACACCAGATTTTTGCTTTAGGCACCAACTTTAAAACCAACCCTTGATTAACAAGAGACTCCATGTTATTCAAAGTAAGCAATACAATTGCAAATATAAAACAAAATTCCGGAAGCAGTAGTTATTGCCTGGTGTGTTTCAGTGTGTTATGGAAAGATCGAGAAAGCCATTCAAATTATCTTTTTAACATCAGCATCTCAACACATTTGGCCCTGTTGCCAACTGCAGGAAAGAAAAAGGATCAGATAAGGAGGAAGAGTTCTTCAGGTACAAATTTTCTTTAATCAAACTGTCTTTCTGTTACAGTCCTTTATCGCATAAGGCAAATCACTCAATCTTTCTCTGTATCTTTTCTCACCTGTAATAAGGAAAGGTAGACACTATTTACAAAATGTAAGTTTCAAACCTCAGTTTTCCACCTAGGATTAGCAGCCTTCTTGGAAATGCCTCTTTTCTTAAGCCTCCCATAGTAATCCTCTGCTACATGACCTTATAGCTCAGAATTTAGGAGCAGAGGCCTCAGGGCCAGACAAAGTGACTGCAAATACCAAATCTGCCGCTTAGTACAGATATGACTTTGTGCAGTTTGTTGAACTTCTCTGAGACACAGTTTCCCCAACCCTATAAAGGGGATAATTTCTCCCTCCCTCCCATGGCTGTTAAGAACAGTATGCCTGGAACTCAGCAGACATTGAAAAATATTTGTTGACTGGATGAAAAGTAATGGTGAAACACGTAGTAGAGAAGAAGCACGTAGTTCTCCTTAAACTACAGTGGTTATTTTTATTACTTCCTATCATCTACTAAGTAAGTGGGAATGAGTTTTCTTTATACTCACGAAGTAAATGCAAAGAGCAGATTCAGGAGACATGAGGACATTGGTGGGAAAACAGAATATCAACATATAAGTAGTATGACTGTACTTGAGAGATTTCATTTGTAAATTCAGAGTTCGTCTAGTTCCAGTTCTTCCATTAAGACTCAGCTCCCTTCGATAGTGGCTGGGTGTGGGGGCCTGGGTGCTTTGGCACTGCTGCACAGCTGTAGCCTCTACGTTTGGCTTAAGCTGTGTTCCCTAGGCGTCAGCCCAGCCCTGCTCCCCTGCCTGGTCTCTCTCAGGTCTCAGTGGTATTAGACTCATAAGACCATCGCTCTCATTTCTTGAGTCTTCCGTGGGGTCTTCCTGTTTCACCCGATGAGCCCCTGCCGAGCTCACTGGCTTCCACCTAGCTCAGGCAGGCTAGACTTCAAGGTTCCTGCTGACTAGGACAAGTCAAGCTTACTGGGGTAGGACCATTCTCCAGAGGCTGTGGCACGTCCTGGAAGATGGCTTCTTCTAGGAGAGCCAAAGGGCAGCATGGCAGGAGCTTCCTTGCTGTTCACCTTCAGCTTACCTAACTCATCTCCTGGTCCAGACCCAAGTGCCCAGGTAGGCTATCAGGAGACCTGTGAAGACCACAGAGCTTGGCTCTCTTTTCCTCGTATTACCACAGTCCTCTTTTACTGCTTTTCTATCACATACTCTTCCTCCTTAATGCCAAGTAGGCCTTCATGACCAAGAGGATAGCTTCCTCTCTACTCTATGTTAATTCTATAAGTTTCATCTCCCATTCTTGGTTGTTGACCTCCTAATAAAGGAAGAAAACAAAGGAATTAAAAAATCTCTCAAGACAGTATCTTGATTTACCAAGTGATTTTTTTTTCTGCATAATCCTATATTGCATGTCAGAAGCCGAATATTACCTTGGTCTTAGGCTTTGCACTGCTTCAGAACCAAATTCCGATCTTCTCTGTAGGCAGATGGATGCCTTGGATGGAATAGACAGAAGATCTCATACTAGGAAAAAGGCAAGGAGCGAAAAAACCCCAGATTTCTTGACTACTTCCCCATGGTGATTTAGGTTCAAAGTGCAATTTATTTGGAATTTTAAAAAGGTATTACAGAGATATTAGGTTATGAAAGTCTGCATAATATTTTTAAAACATTTCATCCATTAGTTGTTTACAGTATAGGATGTGCAAAAAATAAACCTGGCTCCCCAAATTCTCTACCGTTATAACTGTGTTGTATAGGTACATTCTCAATGTAAACTATTTGGGTAATTTTATGGTGTTGACATTTATCTGTGCTGAACTGAGCTGTGATCAGTTTCCCTAAATGGAGCCTTAAAACTGTACAGCTGTTTTCCTAAGACTCAGATGATTGTTTTTGGTTATGATCAAACCAATAAATTGTATGGGCTGGTTTAATCTCCAGTATTTTGTGTACACATTGATGTAGACTTTATACTGGAAGAGCAGAAAATGAAATGTATGTTTTATTTGGCAGGCATTTGATGTACTTGGAAGAGTTGAAGCTTACCTTAAGCTCCTTAAATCAGAGGGTTTAAGTCTGCCTGTCTTGGCAGCGAAGCATGAGGAATTACACAGAGAAATTAAAGACTGTGCCGCTGATGCTTTGCAAAAGGGACAAACCTTAATCAGCCAAGTAGCCTCCTGCAGGTAAGTGAAGTCTATCCTTTCCTTAGTGTAACAAACTTTTTCACAGTTTCCACAACCTCCTAAAAAATAAATTGCATGATTTTTTTTTCTACCACTGGTGTTTTGCTGCATTATGACATGGCTTTAAAGGATCTATAGAATTTTGGTCAACAGTGATTCTGAACACAGCATTGCTCGTCCAGAAGTGAAGTGAAGCCACATTCTGACCTGAGGACCTGGGATGCTAAAGCTTTCTTTCTATAAGTTTCTGAGGAGGGGAGAGGGAAAGGACAACTGAACTTTCCTTCTGTATATTTTTCATGTTCTAGCACCTTCATGGTATTACTTCCTCCCTTTTAATTCTTGAATCTTGAGTCTACCCTGTCCCTTTTTTCTTTTCTGTAAAAATTAAGTTCCAAAATTCCCTTTCATTTATCACCTTGATGGCTCGCCAAGCCAAACCCTAAGTAAAAGATGACATTGTTAATAATAATAATAGCTCCCTTTTTAACAATTGAGAGCCCACCCTGTACCACGCTCTGTCTCAGCAGCTTTGGGAGCATTGTCTTATTAATAATCCTCATAGCAGCTCTACAAAGCAGATACTATTCATGTTCTCTTTTCACAAGCAACTGAGATACAGAGAGGTTAAGTAACTTGGAAAGGGTCACACAGCCAGTTAGTAGTATAGCCAGAATTTGAATCCAAGTGCATGGATCCAGATTGATGGTCTAGTGCATCCTAGACCTCATGCTTTTAACCAGTGTAATAGGGAGGATTGTTTTGATGAGCACATTCAATGAGTGTATCAGCATGAGCTTAGAGTTAGGTGGGAATGAGGAAAGAGAAGGACCTTGAGAAATAGGAGAAGAATGCAGTATGAGAACGTATGAGAAAGAATAGGGATTGGAAGAGAAAAGGGAGGTGACAAGGAAGATGATGGAACAGATGTTGGCTAGGAAGAAATGATGGCAGGGCTTGTGTTTTGACAGAGAGAGAAAAGATTTGTGCAGATGGGGTAAGCCCAGTTTTTAATCTTCCGCATCCACACTCTCCTTGAAACCTAGAGACATTCGATTTGAAGAACAATAAAATAGGTCAAATATGGTAAAAAAAATTATTTTATTTCTATTTAAACCTTCTTTATGCTCTATTTTAAATGTGTTGAAAAGTGTTGATTTAGTAAGTTTGGGTTTAGGAGATTTTCTTTTCAGAAGATAATTTGAATTTGGACAGATATATGTCACCAGGGCTTGTGATGGTTGCTATGGGACCATGCAAAGCCAAGATCAGAAATAATCTAAGATTTTCCAGCAGGAGCTAGAAAGCTGCGGCTATGAGACGGGCAAATGATTCTCATCTTGGAAAAACTAACAATATCTATAGTTACTAAGTGTCTTTAAGTCCAAGCCATGCATCAGGTGATAGTGTGTCCACCCTGCTCCAGAAGTCTCAGTATGTCTGGCCCCAAAGTATGGGTATGAGAGCTCCTTTCTCCCTCTCCCCTGCTAAAGATCCAGTCTTCCAGAACGTAGAAGTGTCTTGGACCATGCAGAAGATACCCTCTAGGGTGCCTGGACTTGTTGAGCCTGGGCTCAGGGTACATGCTGGACACTGATCTGAGTCGTGTCATGATGGACTAAGTGGTGAGCTCTCCAGCCATAACTGGGGAATGGTCCCATGTCAGCTTAGCATGTAGGTCTCAAAGCACAGACAGATACTGTTTCTCAGTTGAGGCCACGCTTTACATGTGGTACTTTCCCTGGCCTTGGGCAGTTTCCTTTCATGCGTGGATGAATCATGAGGCAGCCAAAGGCCCCTCTGCAGATCTCATGATCTGTCTCTAGTACGCTGCCTCCGAAATTCTAGGTGCCCTGGCCTCCTCGAAGTCTGATCTCTGTCTCCTCAGCTCAGCAAGACCTCTGGGCTCTGTTTGGTTCCACCTCCCTGAGCTTTGGTCTGGAGATTACCTCCCAGGCAGCAGGCAGATCCAATCACAGCCCTCACCTTCCTTTCCCTTCTCTCGGGGGTCGCTGTCCTGTGCCACCTGTCGTTCAGTGTCTGAGAACCCTTGTTTCATGTGCTTTGTCCGGTTTTCTAGTTGTTCAAGGCATGAGGGTAAATACAGGGCCTGCTTCTTGGCATCAGTTTTGATGCTTCAGTCCTGGAGTTGGAAGGCAGGTCACAATTTATTACTCCTAAACTTTGTCCTGTTTGCTCTAATCAATAATGCTTTGTTTTCAATATTTAAATTAAGAGAAGTGCTTTTATTTTATATTACATTCTATTTTCAGGGTTTTAGTGACTGTTTTCGGCAATCCATTTGGTAATGGTCCACATGCTTATTTACTTAGTTGGTCTCGTTCTTTTTGACTCCTTAGGTCTTTCTAGTCTTAATTTTTAATCTATATTGTTTCTCAAACGGGCTGTAGTTCTATTCTTCAGGCTGCAGACTGGATCTTAACAGAAGACGTCATAGGTAAAGACCATTTCAAGAAACTTGAATTAGTGGTTAGGTAACTGGATTAAAAACAATAATTAGCAGTATGAATTCTGTCTACATTCTATATAAATGAACTTTCATAGTAGTTCCAAGATATTTGGTTGCCCTGAGATTTCACAATATTTTACAAATCAATACTATTTCATTTTGCAAGAGGAACTGAAGGTAAAGTGCAGTTGTTACTTGGAAAAGGACATTTCTGATTAGAGGGTAGATGTAGAATAGAAATCCATTAAAAGCTGAATTGAAATGCATTAGAATCTCAATCGTGAACTAGAGTCACATGTGGCTACTGACCTCAATCCCATGCATCCCATCTGGGACTTGCTTTCCTTCTTCATCTAACGATTTTTCTATTCGATGACCTGGGTTACTATCACAGGAAAGAAACTGAACCTAAGAAGGAGATTTCAAATTGCAGCCATGGCTGTACTGAAGGTAGAGTTTAGACTAATGGCAACAAAATAAACATAAATTTCAGCAGAGAAAGGTCCACATTACTGAGCATCACGATGGCTTTCTTGACTTCTGAATGCCAGCCACACTACCAGGACACAAAACACTAAAATACCTACTGTCTGACATTTGAAAATTGGTGTGGGTAAGAAACTTAGGACCTAGTATCAAAGGAGTTTTATTTCATGCATTCTGAGAGCCAAAGCAATGCCAGGACTTTTAAACTTAACTTCTCTAAACCCCAGTTTCCTCATCAGTAAAATGGAGATATACATTTTATAGAGGATTTTTAAAAATCAGATGGATAGCACCACTCTCAGCACATAGAGAACACCCAGTAAACAATTGGTTCACTTATTTTTTTTAACCTTCTATACAAAGAGTTTTAAAAGCAAAATACTGAGTTACATGTTGTTTCAGATGGCTACGACAGAATCGGCTGCACCAGATCATACTCATTTTCATGAACTGGGGAAGCTTACATTAGAAATACAACAGATAAACATTTATCCTAAGGTAATAAAAGGCAAAATTTAGTACTGGGGCAGATAGGAATTTCAGAGACCCTTAGATCTAATTTTTTCTATTATTTAATACAATAGGATTTGAGAAATTCATGTTAATCTGTGATGAAGCTTCCCAGTAAATCTGAGAATTTTGTCATTATTTTTCTGTAATTATTTTATTATTAAGAACAGATCCACACTGTTTTTCTATCCTGGAATCAAATACCTTTGAAGTTGGGGAAGCCTCACAAAATAAATAATGCTTATTTACATATTTCCTTGCCTCTTTCCTCCATATACTCAGGTGATAGAATAATTCTGAGTCATCCTTAAATTGTTTATTACCTTTCAGAGTATAGTATCTGTCACATAACCTCAATACACTTTAATGTGAAAGGCATTTTAGTGCACTCATCTGCACTTAGTTATGATGCAGGTTACTGTCATGGGACCTGACAATGGTCAAACCAGACTTACAGTGAGGTTGAAAGCTCCTGGAATCCAGCCCCCTCACTTCCTCCTGGGCCTTACCTGGCATCATCATTGAGCACCGAGTGTAAAGATAGCCCAAAGGTGTCCTGCTACTGAGACAGGAGGAAAGAGAGCAGGGCACAACCATTAAAAGAATGACACAGCAATTGAGGATAGGACAGAAACTGGTTAGAACCAACTCGGCCCAAGATGGCAGAAAATTCAACTTCCAGTAGACTTGAGCCTCACTGTAGGCTCATTGTTATTGCATGCTAACTGACACACCCACAGGTGCCATGACAGTTTGGAGGTTGGCCATAAAAGACCAAAAAGTGGGTGGTAGCCTAATTCCTAGAAATACCTGCCCCTTTCCCAAAGCAGATGGAATAATCCTCCTACTTGTTAACATATAAAATTACCTGGCCTATTAAAACCTCATGGCTGATCTTACTTTCCTAGACAACCTCAAGCTCCAGCGCTGCCTCTCTCACCTTTGAGATGGCCTGCAATCTGTCTATGGAGTGTGTATCTCCCTGTATAAACTTACTTTCACTTTACTGTGTCTCACTCTTGGATTCTTTCCTAAGACAAGAGCCTAGTCTCCAGTAACACTACCAAGCAGAAGTCTCTATTTATTAAGCCACAGGAAGCTGTGAAGATTGGAAATGCTGGGTCAGAGACCTTGGGTGAAGGTGGAGTTTTCCACAATGGGACAAAAACTAGAAACCCTCCTTTTAGGCACGAGGAAGCCTTGGGGACAGTGGGTTAGAGCCACCTCTTTAGAGAAGGGAGACACAATCTCAGGCTCCTGTGATCTCGATGGGTCAAGTGTAGGAACGAGACTTGAGAGGGCCATTGTTCAATTTGATAATCTAAGATGAGTGAAGGGTCTACATCTTCCAGCCAAGATGAACATAATCAATACCTACCACACAATACTTTTTGAAGATTTTTGTGTTTGTCAGCTGTCTCATGGTTTCATTTTTCACTCTGTGGCGTTCTGAGTCATTCCTTAATTGACTTGTGACAGCATCATCTCGTCATCCAAACCATGACATCAGCTTGAGGTCAGCCCTCAAGGTCAA